TACTTTAGATACGTCGTGTTAGAAAAAACCAATTGTCAAATATGTATTTTAAAACAAATATTGTATTTGAAGAAATAAAAATCCAAATAAAGAATGCATCTAAGGGGGATTTCATAGAGTATGCATTTAAGGAGTGTATGCACTTAAATTGTATAAAGATGTATATAATAAAATGTATATATATATATATACAATAATTTGGAATGAGCTTTCCGGTGGCGGATTAAAGATAAAATGGTTTGTAAAAAAAAATATATACATGTATATAGATCGTTTGATAAAGCAGATTGGAAATTTATTGTACGAAATACAGTATAAAAAAATATGTCTTCGCGCAAAAAGTACAATACGTGATAATAATATGACAACAATAATAAATTTTTTTTTTAATTTCAGTAATACAATATAATAATTAACAAACATTTTTGGTTAAATACAAACAAGATAAGTATGATAAATTTCAGCATGGGACAATAAACGTAAACAGCATGTGATTAAAATTGGCAATAAAGATAGAAAAAGAAGTTTTTTTTTTATGGTTAACCTATGGATTGAGACTTGGTTTTTGTAAATATTGGTCACCTGCGTAAATAGTGGTTTATTTTTGTCGAGACGCGCAGATGCATCGATGCATTGTCGAAGTGGAGAGAGGGCATTACACCAATCACTTGCAAGCTTCATGATGTATAGTTGTCCTTTCATTTTCTCCAACTGGCGAAGAAAATAATTTTTTTTTTATGTCGTGACTTTTACAAGGTAGTACAACAACGATACTTTCAGGGATGTCATTTGAACATGAGTAGGTGTGCAATATAATACATAAGTCAAAAATCTGAGAATGCTATTTCAATTAATTAATATAAAATATGTTTGTTTCCTTAATGGTATGACAAATTCAATGTGCCTGTTCTTTGATATAGATTACACGCAAGAATTAATTATATCATTCCTGTCGCATGATCAATTAAGCCAAAAAGAAGTTTTTCTTCTCCGAAAGCAATCGAACAGATAAGGGAAAAAACTATCACGAATTACATATATTGATCATTGCAATCAACTATTTTATTTTTGGGTTGAATCATCGGTTTCTTTGTTATCCATCTTAGTTTCGTCGCCTACATTGTCCTCGGCGTCCTCCTCATCGCCACTCAAATGGTCCTCGCGTAATTGTGATGTAAGATATGTGTTAACGTCCTTTTGAAGCATGG